GTCGGGAGCTGCCTCTGTCGACGCCGCCTTCTCTATAAGCCCTCCTGTGGCCCCTGAGTTCGCTGCAAAGACCTCCGAGGGACAAGCCGGCCAGCCTGGTGAAGACACCGTCAGCATGGACCGTACCGAATCGCTCGGCGTTCCTGGCGCTGATAGCAATGCGACACGCGGTAGCTTCGATGTGTCGGCTCGACGTGGCACAACAACTGAAGGCGATAGCAGCCGCCGTGATCACACTGCCAGAATCATGGAGAAGCTCGACTTGACAAGGAAATCAACAGTAAGCCCTCAGCTGAGTGGAAGCAACCCCTCTTCCGCCAGCGGTGGCATTGCTAGTCTTATCTCCGCAAGTCTTGCTTCAGCTAGTCATAACATTGTACAGGTCGGACAGATTGCTGCGCCTGCACCTGGCCTCCCTGACACTCGGCTTGTCATGGGCCAGACACTTCCATATACCAGTCTTGCGCCTTCTACCCTTGCGAGCCCGCCGGCTCCGACCAACCTAAGCAAAGCCGCTGTCGCTGTAAGCGGAGAGCGAGGTCTCGGGACAGGTCGCTCAGGTAACATGCCTGGTGGGCTCATGGCTAACCTCTGGGGCTCGGTCAACTGGGGATACGTCAATGTCCTTGGGCGCGAAGATGAGACCAACACGCGCGACCGCAGTCAATCTGGTCCTCCGAGTCCTGTCAACCCGTCTCCTGTCCTTGCACCCAGCGATGAGAAGAATGGAACACCTCCCGTTCCTACTGTGGCTGTTCATCGCAAGTCGAGCAGTATGGGCGGACCCATTCCGACGCTCACAAAAACCAACCATGACGAGGTCGACTTCCCAAATTATTACCCTCTCGCTCTCCGGATGCAAGACGCTCAGTTCCGGATACTGTTCCCTACAGTGCCACGCTCGGAGAAAGTCGTGCTGGTGTTCCGAGCCGTATGGAATCCGACAGATCAACAAGAGTTCCCCGGGCGCGTGTACGTCACAACTAAGAACATCTACTTCTACAGCAATCACCTGGGTCTTGTACTTATCACGGGTATAAGCATGTCTTCTATTGATGAAGTCACTGCTGCTCCCGGTAAGGACTGCGACTTCCTTTTTCTCCATTTCAAGTCAGGCGCAAGGGAGGATGGCGCCACTAGGCTCACTGTGAAGACATTCCTCGAGCCTCTAAAATTGCTCTTGCGTCGACTGAATTTCCTCGTACGCAATACTGCCTCTGGAGAGCACAACCTCGAGGAAACGATGAAGAGAATGATCAGGATGGAGACGGATGAAAGCCTCAATGCCCCTGGTGAGGAGGGTTGGGAGGAAATCTCTCCAGACACCCCTGTTGATACAGGCTATGGCGGGAAGAACATCAAGACCAGCCTGCGCATTGATGGTAATCTTTTTGGACCATCCGGCGCAAGTGCCGCGAAGAACGCAACCAAGTTCAAACTACCATCGCAAGCTGTAGTCTTCGCTCCAGCTGGCATGACGCAGGTTGCCGTGGAGAAGGAGTACGACATCAGCGCAAAAGGTCTATTCCATATACTCTTCGGTGACAAGAGTGCGGTGTTCCAGCTACTATATCGGGAACGGAGAGCATCCCGCATCGTCCAAGGGCCGTGGATCACGAGCGATAAAAACCTTCAACGACGAGATTTCGAGTACGAAATTGCACAGCCTGGTAAGAACGGAGCTGTTGTCATAAACGACTACCAGGTCATCGAAGTCCTCAACGACCATCTTTGTTACGTGGTCTCAGATCGCAAGACACCCTGGTACCTGCCAGGCCACGATCGATTCGTACTTCTCAGCAAAACAGTCATCACACATGTGTCAAAAGCGCGATGTAAGCTTGCTATCCACACAAAGGTGGACTGGAAGCGCAACCCACGTTTTGCGAGGAAACTCATCGAACGCCAAGCCCTGCAAGACCTGGAGCTTGAGGCGCAAGATCTTGTTGATGTCGTCAATGATCAAGTCGCCAGGCTCGGCCACAACAGGAGCACGAACAAGGTCACAAATATTTTTGGCCAGATCGGCGTCGAAACACAAGCTGTACAGCTCGATGCGCAGGACATACCACCGCCGAATCGACCTCGGAAGTTCAAATTACGACCGCAGACGACCGCATCTTTTGTCGCGCAATACATAGGGAACATCATTATAAGTGTGGTGTCAACAGTCATGAGCTGGATATTGGCGATCGTAGCCGGTCTTGGCAAAGTTATCTCAGCACACACATTGCTCTTTGGCCTTTTGCTAGTCAGCGGTGGAGCCAACTTCTTCTATACTTCCAGGGACAGTTGGAGCTGGTGGCACGAGCGAAATGCCGCTAATTACATGTCGCGATTGGGTGTCAAGCCATCGACTACGATGACCCGCTCGATCTACATTCGCGATATCGAGGAGTCGTTCTTGAACCGGAACAACACCAATCTTGAGCTTTCAGTGCCAGTCGCGGCGAGCACTGATAACAAATGGTATGCTTCTTCACCTAGAGATGCCAACTCAGCTAACTGTATACAGCCACCAGACGTTCACAACCCTCCTCCACGATCCCTCATCTACCGTCTCCACCCAGTCTTTCTTCAAACCCTCTACGCATAGCACCCAGCGCCTCCACCGCACGCGACAAAGCCTCGGCTCGCACCGTCACGATCTACTCGTTGCTTTACGCGTCGTCAATCGCATTGAGAAGGAAGTGGTGGAAGCGGAATACGAGAATTGGCTACTGGATGAGACACATAAATGTAGCAAGGTTGGAAAGCTCCTAGAAAGCGCCGCCAAGAAGGGCAAAGAGAAGCAGGTAGAGGACTGGGTCAGAGGATACTGCGGGGACTGTCAAAAGAGTTTGCAAGTGGTTGAGGAGAGCCGGAAGGGTCTGGTATGAGCCCTACTTCGGTTAGCCACTGAGCACAAGAATATGTAATGGGACAGTCGAATGGTGAACCTGGTAATGCCATCGCACAAGCGACGAACCGAACCTAACTTTATCGAATTTAATAACGAAATAGACCCTCAATTTCGTCAGTCAGGGCGACCTCGGCGCTCCTGATTCCGTACCTTGGGTCTCTCCTACACTTACCTTGATCATCACTTATTTTACTATCCGGCCCGCTCTCACCCTCACACCCACATAAGACTCTAGGTTTTGTGCGCGCAGATCTACCCAGCTCGCACTGCTAACCTGTTCAGCTGAACAACCGCAGCCATGTCTAAACTCGAGTCCGGGATGTCGTGTACGCTGAAAAATGATACCATTACGGTAAATGACGACCTCAAGATTTCCTTCCGACGCACAGTCCGTGTGCCAGATATCTCCGAGTCGAACTACCTCCCCCCTAACCTCGGTGCCTTTCCACTCGAAGCGGTGTCACGGCACAGCGCCAAAATACCCAAGGCGATGATTGTAAAGAGCGGCGTTTTCTTCCCCATGTACCGTAAGTATCATCGAAACTGATTAGAAACTCGAATGTCCAACTGACAAGCGTGCAGAATCCGAGGCGATGTGGATCAACTTCAGCCCTGTCCAAGAGCAAATGCATCCCTACAAGATCAAAATCTATGTCGGCGGCGTGAACGTCATTTCCGCCGAGCCCGCCATCGAGACCATAGCCAACCAGTTCCGCCGACAAATCCGACTAGGAAAGGCTCCTGCAGACGCCAAAGCCACATCTCCTCTGCAAGACTACATCGTCGTCCCCCAACAGAAGTGGATCGATGGCATCGCCCACGGAGACGGCACAGTCCGGCAGTTTGTCGCTATGCCCAGCAACAGCGGGGCTTCAGTCGAAGCGCAGATCACAGGACAGGAAGCTACAGCCGGTATCCAGATCGAAATCACGCCTTACAAGCTGCCCGGTCCACGAGCCTTTCCCGGTGAGCCCATGCAAATCTTCCTGAAGCAGCTCAACGGCACGACCAAGACGTTTGACGTTACCCATCTGGAGCCCATCAGCAACTTCAAGCTACGTATCCGCGAGGTAACGGGTATACCCACGCAAGACATGCGTTTGATCTACGCTGGGAAGCAGCTCGAAGGTAAGCCAGCCACCCAACCCACTCACCACACATACCTCCAATGAATACTAACCCTCACCCCAGACTCCCGCGACTTCGACGACTACCGCATCTACAAAGAATCCACCATCCACATGGTCCTCCGCCTCCGCGGCGCCGGCCCCCCAGACCCCATAACCGCACAGATGAACCTCGCAGCCGGCGGCCTCATCCACCAAGTCATCCACCGCGACACCCTCCGCCCCAACTGGGACGTTGCCAAAACCACCGTGTTCAACGCGCAGATCCTGAATGCCGCGCTGTACGAAACTGTCACGGGGCGGAAGCCGCTTACTCGGCCTCTCTCTCACGAAGTGTATGCGGCGCATGGGTTTCCGTATTACAAGATGTATGAGGAGAATAGTGGGGTATATGGCAGCAGGTTTGGGGCGATCAAGTCAGTGGGCGAGTTGAAGGGGCATGGCAAGGGGCAGGGCGTGGTTAGTGCGGTGAAGGTTGTGGATGGGGGGTATGGGAGCGGGATTGAGGTGATGAATCCGCAGGGGCCGTATCTGGTGTCTGAGCCTGTGGCGGAGGTTGAGGAGGCGTTGGATGCGTATCATATCGCTGAGTTTTAGGCTCGTGATGTGTTTGATGGCTAGGGCGCAAGGTCTGATTGATGGCATGCACGATTGGGCGCAAGGAGTGATATGGAAGGAGCTATCGGTTTCGCTCATTTGAGAATATGGGAACAGTGTAGTAGCATGGTAGCTACATACTAGGAAACCGATGCATAATCTCTTCCTTCCGTCTTCCATCTCTATCCGCGTGATCGAGGTCTTGGCGTCTAGATGTAGTACTCTCGTGTATCATTTCTCTGACACTCTCATCACAATTCTGCGCCCATCGCGGCTGCGCTTAGCGATACTGTCTCCTAGTCAGCCCCCATCTCATCGTTCCCGTCCCTTCTTTTTCTTTCCCTTGTTTCGTTGCGAAACATCACCCTCCGCAGCTAATCACATACCTTGACGAACCCAATGTCCTGCGCCTTCTCACGGAAAGCCTGACGGCTCATGTTGATTCCGTACTTGCGAATGATACCGGCCTTCTTCTTGTCACCGGTAACGACACTAACTCTTCGTCAGCACAGTCCATCTTCTTTGATACCTCCTCTTCCTCTTGAGCTTCAGTCGCATACATACCAGCCGATAGAGGCCTTGCCATATTTGCGCGGGCGCGAGTACCAGACTGATTCGTGCGACATGTTGGCAGTTTCGTTCGATCGATAAGATGAGGTTCTTGCGAAAGAGCAGCAGGAATTCTAGGCAAGAGAATTTCGAGTTTGTGTGTGGCGCGGATTGGCGAGGTTCAGAAGTTCTGCATGGGTTGGATGGTGTGAGGTAGTACCTTGTTGGACAGTCTGTCCGGGGTTGCGTATCACGGTACTCGCTCGGAGGGAAGTAACGTGATTTTGAACGTCATGTCCTGAAATTGTTGTTTTGGTGTTATTCGTGCGTCTCATTGAGTTCGTGGCTAGGGGTTGTGTTAGAGTAGATAGTTGCCAAGACTTGGGTCATCGAGACGATGATCTGGTCGGATAGGTATTTACCTCACACACATAGAGCGCTCGTAAAAGCTCGAACCCTCATGAGAGATGGAGTTGATTATGAGGATGAAGATTGTTTTGCTGTCTATCTACCTGAGCCTGCTCGAAAATATCTGAAGAATGTACCGAAATGTCTATCATCGGGACCTTTACAGTTAGCACGCCAATAACACCCACGTGGATAGGAGATATAGGTTTCGAAAACCTCAAAATCAGAAATGCGCAACCCGGTTTGACCGCCAGCGGTCAATTGCTTTTGCAGCCGTGACTGTGTCGAACTGTCCGTGCTCGAAACAGTTTCAAGTCGTTCCGGCCTCCAACATGAAAGACCTGCCACCTCACAAGACATCTAAAGTAATCAGTCATACGTTATTCATGTTCGTCCGTCTCGCCGTTCTTGATGGCGTTTCGCCTGGGAAGGCCAAATCCCAAAGGTGCAGTTCGATGGTCTTGCTGTCACCGGAATTGAGATAAAGGTACCCCGCGTCATTAGCCGCAGACGTTAGTCCTCGGTAAGTGCGAGCGTTGGAAATATCATGTTGAATGTGGTAAAATGATGATATGAGTGGTGCACTCATGCCACGCCAAGAAGTCCAGTCTCGACTCATCTGCTTCTTCTCATATGTCGTCGATATCGTAGTAGTCGTCAAAGCCGTATGGTGGACGCCGGATCTGAGGCCTCGCCCAACCATTGCCAACATCATCGTCGTCCTTCTCCGCATCAAGTGGCGTCCAAACGATGACTTTTTTTCGCACCCTCCAACTCCTCTTGTGAAACCTTGCCTTCATGTCCCGCTCTTTTCCGTACCCAGGCGACTTCTGGGTGACGTCCACACTTTCGCCGCGCTTCACCAAGACAAGCAACGCCTTTCGGGCGCCAGCACCCTTTGTCAAATCCTCATCGTCCACCCTGCCGAATCCCTGGAGTTGATGCTCTTCTGGGTTCTGTTCGAAAGACTCTCGCCTGTTCGGGTCAAGAACGGACGTGCAGTCGTTCTCCTCTGTCGACCTGAAGACCTGAACAATCGATCCGGAGCCTTCTCCATCCCTGTTCCACAGTCTCTTGTTCCAGAATCTCGGCTGAGGCTGACGGCATATGTCACCGGTCTCACGAGATCCGTGGCTCCTGGAGGGGCTGAAGCCGAGCATGCGCGAACTCCGAGTGACATAGCGAAGCTCCTTCCAACCGTTCCCGCGGTTGATCAAGTTCGTGATGGCGTCATACTCCGGTGCAGCAGCGGCTACTGCAAAAACTGTCAAGCAGTCCAGTCGGAGCGCAGGGAGAAGCTGAAAGATCGATTCGTGACGATACATGAGGTCGTCGAACCCTTTGAGATAACGCATCATTGGGGAGCCGATCAGCCGAAGGTGGCGGATCTTGGACACAGTAGATTCAGGTAACTCGGAGAGTCTGTTTAGCATAGTCTGAGGGTCCTCAAAGTTGAACGTAACACGCTGAAGCCATATGTCGCGTGTTTCGATGTGTATCTGGCGGGATACGCGCAATAGCGCGAGGGAATGTGGGGCAGGCTTCAGATACCTCTCGCCATAGCGGGGTGTGTATCGCAGGCCGAACGTCAGCCTCGTCGAGTTGAAAGCCAGCTCCCAGATCTCATCGCGCAGTTCTCGAGGTAGTTGCAGCAAGGGGCTCGAATCGTTCATTGCAGTGTTGTCGTCAGTCATCCTTATCGACCTGATGGAGGTTTGGCGGGGTTCATTGTACCAGCGGTACCGGCCGCTCTTGGGCGGGATGAAGTAGTCTTCGTCCTGGATCATCATCTTGGAGAAGGTTTGCCCTGCATTGGAATCGAAGGCCGTGGATGGCACCGAGACATGGGGATTGGCCAGCTGATAAGCCCTTGGTGGTGTTCAGCGCCAAGCAGGTTCCCGGCTTGCCGTCACGCGACACTCGATTAGTCGCCTGGCAATCTCGACTCAGCCACCTTCCATCTCCACTCAGTTGGGACGATTACTCCACTCTTATATCTCGACTTTCCCAATACTGCCAAAATGCCTCGCGCCCGCCGAATATCCCGCAGCCGTTCCTTGTTCCTGGTTGTGAGTCTCCCGGCCGACGCCTAGCCCCGCACCTTGCGTAATTCCGGATGTCCAGACAATAAGCAACGCGTTAGGTTTTGGCCATTACATCAAGCTTCCATCTAGGACGCGTCTTGCATAGACTCTCGCACGGACAAGAACCCATAAATCGCGCTCCAAAGCTAACAAGACGCAGTGTTACGCACTTCCGAAGACCACATATGGAGCCGATATCCAGCCCAAGCAAACCAAGCACGACACAATCCTGTCGGACCGCTGAGTCTAGATACCGAAGTCCTGCCAAGCATCTCCACACTCACAGAAATGCGCTGTTTACCACCTAAACGCTATGCCACATTGATGTCGATATCCCGTCTCCAGTAGCCATTACCGAGGCGTATGGCTGAGATGCATACAAGCGAGCCTGCCACCGGAACATCTCGGGCGCCACTTCTGGTCCATCGCCCTCCGAGCGGCACGGTGGGACGCGTCCCAACAATTGGATGAGGCTGACAAGTACACCATGCCATGGAGTTTGTTGCTCTTGGCCGGCTCTCCTGTGCTTGATACGATGGCCATCTATGACGTACGGACATCCTGAAGATCGGCGAGCTTGTAACGGCCTCACCACGCTTGGTATGATCGAATGGAAGCCCGAGTCAGCTTATCCTGCAGGAATGCAATTGTGGATCGGATAGCGCATCGAGGCCGTGGAATTCCATTTCAATACAACCTGCTCGAGGCTGGCGCGTGGGGCTCCGCAATATTCTTTAGCGCGGCACTCGCCATACCGGTACGTCGTTCACGAAGCCATACATGAAGCACACCGACGACTACCGGAGAGAGTCCGATCGTAGGACACATGCCTCAACAGAACTACTTGGCACGAAACGCCTGCTAGATGTTGCACCAAGAATCAACAAGCGCAAGCTCACGATGATGTAGCGGGACTGGTACCGGCATACCGCTCTGGGATATACGAGAGTGGATCTTGGGCCCATCTTAGAGGAAGCCTCGCCGTGTTGGCTTCTAGACAGGTAAGATTATGGAAATATTGCGGATACGTGACTACGCTTCAAAGGCACTTCGAGGGCTCGGTGCTCTTCTCAAAATAGGCTCGGTGCTTAGCTCCTCCGAGGCTCTCACTGGAGGGTCGTGGATGGGCGTCGTCCTCTACCTCGCCGTTCTTAGAAGCGCGGGTGAGGTGAGCTATCGGTGTGAGTACGGTGGAGCAGTAACGCGACTTACCTCGACGCACACCATCGACCAATAATTGCACTGCTTCGCACTTACTGTTCGCTGTCTTTCCTTACTGCTTTTGACTGTCAAAGACCACCAACCTCGTCCGCATAACGAACAGCTCACTTGTGCGATCAGAATGCCTCTCAGTCTTCTCCAACGGTTGTGAATGTTGGAGATTCAGATGTTACTTTCTCAGCGACACGACTAGGAACCTCAGCTCGTACCTACGCTACTTGGCGCATTGCAGGAGCATGTCGTTATCGCGCTGTCGCATGCTGTCTTCACCATATCCCCGCCACGATGTCGTGTCTGCGTTCTGGGACTTGACCGTTCATTCAATTTACCTATCATCTCTTCTCATCAAACACTCAGCTTCGCGCAACACTTCACCTGTTATTCTTCCAATTACTGCTTGTCATCATGTCGGGTGTGATGCGCAGCAAGCTGCAATGTCACCCCAGTCACTTCTCTCCAGTGTCATAAAGCAAAGTTTTCTTCCTCAAGCAACGCCACCAGGGCGAAGACTCAATGAAAAAAAGAAGGTTCCTATCGATCCTCATCGCTTGGATGAGTGCCGAATGATTGGAAGAAAGTTCTCAGCAAGCCGAAGCTTGTGAGATCATAGCCGCGTCGGTTGTCGATGTTGCCGGTGGGCGTCGTTGGTCGGTATCGCCGGTCGATGTCGCCGGTCGATACATGTATATGTATATGTCGTCCTCCATCTCGGTGATGTGCTAACCCATTGCGGGTGTGCCTACCCCAGTGGGTACCTGTTGGACCAAGGGCTGGGATAACTCTCTGCACAAATGATGGATGGCAAACCCCGCTTACTTCTATTTGGGCGTGCTAAGCCGCCAGAGCCATCATGGGGATCAGGCCAGGACCATTTGGTCTGTCAGGAAGCCCGAAGGCAACTCCATATCTGTGGCTCTCTTCTCACCCGGTGGTATGCGTATCTCCCCAACGCTCTGGATTCATGCGGTCCATAGCATGCCGTCGTATACAGAGGCATTGCCGCTGGGGCCAGTCCATAACACCGGGATGAGTGGGGGAAGCTGCACTGTCGAGCTGCGGGTGCAAGACAGTGTGGCTACGCCCTCCCTACAACAGAGAGTCACGGATCCAGCGTTAGTACCCAAGAGACACGAGCTCAAGCAAATCGCTGGCAGTGTGAACTGGGGGCAAAGACTAGGAGGATACTGACAGGCTAAAGAGGATCCAGTTCGTAGGGAGGGAATGCTACCCTCGCGGGGATAGTCAGCAAGCGGGAGTCGGGGGCGAGCACTTACCTGCGTGGTGGTGGAGGAAGAAAGAGGTGGAGGACAAGGCTGGAAGAAACTCAATATACGCCGTGTGTGGGCGCCAAGCTAAGAGCCTGTGCGCTGTAGGCGGCAGCGAAAAAATGAAAAGGCGTCACAATAGAAGGTCTGAGACAGGGGTGGAAGTTTCTGCAAAAGTGAAGGTGAACGCGGCTCTGTGGGCACGTGTACCCGGGCGACGCAGCGGACAAGAGGATAGCGAGGAACATTGGAAAGTTGGAACTCCAACTTTGAATCTTTGAGGTCAACGGCGAATTGAGCCAGTATCGTGATAAAAAAAATAGACTTGCGTAGCATCGCGCTCGTATAGTCGACCTGGCAACAGGACCATGCGATACTGCGACACGAGCGTTTGTCGCGAGAACTCCCATTGGCGGATACTGGCCGTCCGCACACACATCCATTATTTCCCAGTAATTGAGATCAAATCGCGAAGATTCAGCTCCTGACACTACCACGAGTTCTGAGTAGCGATCAATCGCTCCTCCCCGAACAAGACAGATACCTAATGACGACACTGCCAACATCAACACCCACATCCACCATGGCGAGCGCGCAGACTACCGGTGTCGCCAGCTTCCTGAAACTACCAACCGAGCTGCTCGACCAGGTCGCCAGCCTCCTCCCCCGATCGGCTCTTCGCGCACTCGCCCTGACGTCAAAGAAGGCGAATGTCTCCGCCATCGACACCCTCTACAAGATCTACCTCAACCGCACTGCTCCCGCAAAGGCGCCCTTCCATCTCTTCCTCCGTACTGTATGCGAGCGACCCGACCTTGCGGCTAAGGTGAAGCGCGTCGACATCCGCGGATGGCGTTCGGAATATGAGGTTGCTACAGGAGCCGCATGGCGGGGTGTCACGGAAGTCAGGGACGTCGATCAAACCGAGAAGAGTGGCCCATCATTCACGAGCACAGAAAAGAGCCTTCGAGATTCAGCTGCAGCGAGATCGAAGTTGTTCGTTGGGGCTGCAGTCAAGGCCGGTATAGTCTCGGAGCCTACATCGCTTTCAGTACCGGCGCTCAAGGCGAGCATCGTGTGGTACACGTCACTAAAGGAGGACGGCGACTTTCTGCGCCTCCTGGGTCGGGGTGTAGAGGATGCGCAGCTTGTGCTGATCCTGGCTTTACTTCCCAACATGGAAGTCCTCCGTATCGATGGATTGAGCCCTTTTCCGCTGCTCGATTGGTAAGTGAATCTACTATGCGAAATGGTTTGAGACACATGCTGACTTTGTGCACCAACATTTAGGCATCACTTCCTCTCACGTTCCAGCTCAGCGCTTCAGAAGGTTTCGGCGCTACAGATCAACGGCTCGAACACGAGCGTGGAAGAGCCAGTCGTCAAGGACAGTTTACAGTTTCTCGACATTACACCAAACCTGCGGAAGATTCATCTTATTGCCATTGCCGCTGGTGGTCATAGATTCACGATCAAGGCGCTTCCTTCGACCAAACTCGAAGGAGTTGTCCTTCTCGGATGCGGAGTGAACATTCGCCTCTTGCGTAAGATTATGCTCGGCCAGAGTCTGGTCGTTATAGCCTATCGACCTGGTCCAGCTCAGATCGATGCAGTCACAGGATCCGACATCGCTCTGCCAGACCTCTTCGCTTCATTCGCGCATTCCAAGCTCTCGCTGCGGTCGTTAATGCTTTTCCCTTCTAGCATCAAGTCTGAACAGAGCAATCTAAAGCACTTCGAGAATCTCAAAACATTGGAAATACCTCTTTTGGATGTCCTAAGCATTCCATACGACGAGCAAGAGCCCGAGACCATCCACGCTCTCCTCAAAGACCAGCTTCCGGCTACCCTGAAGCACATCGCTCTACGCTATATGACCAGCAATATTCAGACCAAGATAGTTATAGAACAACTGGCTGTGTTGAAGATGCAAAACGTATTGCCGGACCTCGACAAAGCAACCTTCAATTTTATCAGCGCTGTGGCATCGTCGTTTGTCTCCACGGCGATGATCAATATCGGTGGTCCTACGGGAGGGCTAGCTGCAGGCACGACGTGGGAATCTCTACCAGAGATGGAGAAGATGGTTCGGGAAGACTGTGGCAAGCTGTATGAAGACGCGGGCATCTGCATGGTGGTAGAACAGACGGACTACTAGAAAGGTGGCTGGACAGAGGCGCACATCAGGGAACTGCCAGGAGGAGGGTGGGAAATACAGAAAGGAGCCTACAGGTTTACAGGCCTCATATTCTTAGCTGTACCGATTTGGGACTAGCCCACTTTATGTAGGGCTGTTCGCATCCCAGGTTTCCCATGACATCACTTCCATAGAATACCCTTCAAGGTCCACCATTCGTGACCAAACCGTCGCGCACTATCTACGGAACCACGGCATAATATCCAAGAGAACTACTGATTCCGTGGCGCAATGTGGCTCAGCAGGCACGTGGCGCTTTATTCGTTCGCCACGATGACGCGCACTCGACTGGAGCTCCCGTTCGCGCGTAATGCCCTGGGTTATTAGCCCACCACCCCGCAGCTCACATTGCGACATTACCTGTTACACGCAATCTACATCAGATCTCTTCAACTTTACTCGCCTTCCTACACATCCGACACTCGGCTCTCTCATATCAACCTCACAGCATGGCAGACTTCGCACCACCACCAGTATGTACATCGCAATCGTAGCATTGGTGTCGCATGGCATCGCTAACAGTATTGACAGGGCCCTCCCCCGCCAAAGGTACCCGAAGGCTGGAAGGCCGTCTGGAACCCACAATACAACGAGTGGTTCTACGTCAACACCTACACAAAGCAGTCGCAATGGGACAAGCCAACCGAGGCCATCTATCCTCCCGGCGAAGCCCCGCCCGCCGGCGCACCCCCCGGATATGCGCCTCCAGCAAGTGGCGCGGTAGGCGGATACCCCAGCGAGAAGGGAGGCTTTGGCAGCAACAACCCATACGCGAACACGAGCGAGGATGAGGCGCTTGCCAGGAGGCTACAAGAAGAAGAACAAGCGCGCGCCAACGGACACTCGAGCGACACACGCGGACATGCGAACGACTACTACCAGCAGCCTGGCCAGTCGCAACCACCACAGTACGGCGGCTATGGGCAGCAGACCACCAGCTCGTATCCGCAAGAGCAACACCACGACTCGAGTACACAAGACAAAGGGAGCAAGGGCAAAGGACTGCTAGGCAAGATCCTCGGAAAGGCCACTGGCTCATCCCATTCATCGTCATCGCACGGTTACCCACCACAACAGCATGGCTACGGTCAACCAGCATACGGTCATGCAGGCTACGGAGGTGGCTATGGAGGAGGAGCATACGGTCGGCCCATGGGCGGCGGTATGCCTATGGGAGGTGGCATGGGTGGCGGCAGGCGTCCGGGAGGCGGTGGCATGGGAGGCATGGCCCTTGGAGCCGGAGGAGGTCTGCTCGCAGGTGGGCTTATCGGATCAGCAATGGCAGGAGACGGCGGTGACACCTACGTCGAGAACAACTACGGTGATGACGATATGGGTGGAGGAGATATGGGCGGTGGCGATGACATGGGCGACATGGGCGGCGACTTCTAAGGCGACGCAGTCTCATCCTGATAGTCTCACGATTTTCCTTACTTGTTTAGATACTAAGGTCGCCCTCCCTATGCTCTGATAGCAGAATAATATCTTCATCTTAGTCAAGTGTACTAATCTAAGGGCGGTTCTGCGAACATTCGCGCACATGTGAATTATGACGTACCTCAGTGGTCGGTTTAAATCTCTCCGAAAAGTGCAACACCAACAACGCCACTCTCGCATCTCGACAACACCTTCATGCTAAGAGCAACTTCGCGCCTAATAAACATCATGGCAGCCGAACAGCAGAAGCGTAATATTGTCATCATCGGTAAGACTGGCCGAAAGTTTTCTATTCTCGATGACTTTTCTTACTAATGACTTCAGGTGGCGGCATCATTGGCTCAACTACAGCATACTTCCTGTCGCACCACCCAACCTTTAACAAGGAGAGAGACAGCATCACGCTTTTAGAAGCTACTAAGATTGCTGGTGGCGCCTCAGGAAAAGCAGGTGGTCTTCTCGCATTATGGGCATACCCCAACTGCATCGTACCGTTAAGTTACAAACTTCATCAGGAGTTATCCGAGAAGCATGGCGGCGCTGAGCGTTGGGGGTACCGAGCCGTGCACTGTGGTCAGGTCGATACGTACGGTGTTCTAGCCAAGAACAAGGGTGGCAAAGACGGTGCGAACGGCAAGAGCAAAGATGACTCGGTCAGTCTACAAAAGCGCACGCAGAGAGCAATTGGATTACTACGCGCTGCCGGTGTACCGAAAGATCTCGATTGGGTGGCAGCGGATGGTATCAAGTCTTATGAAGAGATGGGCACGCCACTCACAACGGCGCAAGTGCACCCCTATCACTTCACCACAAGCATGGCGCAGCTCGCCGAAGAAAAGGGTGTCAAAATCGTCTACGGCTCGGCCACGAACATCGAGCAAGAAGCCGGCGCCGTAAAATCCGTTTCATACAAGAGCAAAGACTCAGGCGAAGAACAGAACCTCCCCGCCGACACCGTCATCCTCACAGCAGGCCCCTGGACAAAAACAGTTTGGAAGCCATCACCCATCTCCGCCCTGCGCGCCCACAGTGTCACCATCCGCCCCTCCCGACCCGTCTCCGCCTACGCCCTCTTCACCTCAATAGACATGCCCCGCGGCAACAGCAAACGCGGGGAGACCGTAACCCCAGAAATCTACGCCCGGCCCAACCAGGAAGTCTACGCCTGCGGCGAGGGCGACCACCTCGTTCCCCTACCCACATCCACAGATCTCGTGCAATGCGATGAGAGCAAGTGTCAGGAGATTTTCGATCAGGTGTCGGCTATCTCCGAGGAGCTGAGGGATGGGGAGGTTACGGCGAGACAAGCGTGCTATTTGCCTAATGTTAGTAGGGGGAGTGGGCCGCTTATTGGGAAGACGAGTGTGAAGGGCTTGCTGATGGGTGCGGGGCATACTTGTTGGGGGATTCAGAATGGGCCGGCCACGGGGAAGTTATTGAGTGAGTTTGTGTATGATGGCGATGTGAAGAGTGCGCAGATTGGGAGTCTGGATCCGAGGAAGTTTGGTGTTTAGGTGGGGCGATTTGGTTGGGCTATAGATCGAGTGATCGAAGCTATGATGATATTCTCCAGGGGCCCGAGCCGCCATTGACTCTGGCGGTGTCTTGTTTTGGTGATGGCATCTACTTTTTACTTCCTCACGTCTTTCAAGAATACCCTCTCTGCTTAGGCATACACATCGGTTCCTATCGTCTGCGCGACATAGTGTTCTCTTCGTGAGATTTTTCGCAGCCGGTAGCGTTCACACTCAGTCCATGGCTCTTTCGTTATAGTCTTCTGTGCACCAGCTCACACCATGCATATTGCTCGATCTTGTTTTAGTAGAACGTTTAATTTAATATGTGAAAAGAGAACGGGTTCGTGTGCGAGATCGGATCTTTATAATCCCAGACCAGGGCTATCCACAGCAACAGCATAGTAAGCCCGCGTTTGTATCTCTGGCAGTCATCTCGCACATGCGTTGAATAACCGAGCTTTTTCAGATGCCAATCAGCATGTGTTAATGCGAGTACTGTTTTCGCAACTGCTCTCACAGGAGATCATGTCTTGGTTGATGTAGAGCTTAGGCCGACTCCCGCTCTCTTTGAACCGAGCGCCATATCTCGACATGGATTGCTTTTTTGGAGGACTAAAGAAGCCAAAACAATCTCATGCCCAGTCACCCTGGTCCTTTTGGTGCTCTGAGATTGGAGACACGAATGCGATACTGAGTGGGAGTGCGAAGAGGACAGAATTTATAGATCTAGGAGTCTGCTAGTCGAGCCGCAGATGAGAAATAGTGGCTGGCAACTCTCATGCCAGGCTTTCTTGACGTTTTCTGGTTTTGCAAGTGGCTGGACAGGACATAAATTGAGCCGCTCAAACTTTCGAACTAAGATCAGGATAACCAGGTAGTCTGCACATACTGATACTGTGAGTTCTCCCAATCACTCAGTCATGGTTTCGATCGTTTTACTTTTTGAAGTCGGAGGGAAACCCATAAACTCTTTATCGTGGGTTTTGTAAAGTTCCGGAAAAGAGGAGTAAGATGGAGAGTAGGTCGAGAAGCAGGATCGACGACTTTATAGTAACGCTCGTAGCGAATTCTCAAACTCATGAGAAGCGGATCTCACTGTTCTGGAGTAACTGAACAACATAGACTGGTCTCGTTGTACTATGGTGAGTCGACACCGTGAGTGAGGCGGCATGGTACTGGACTGCCACGCCTTTGATGGAAAGACGTCTGAACAACAACAGGAACGAACCGATCCCGCTCGTGTACGACGACCAGAACATGCATTTATTGGTTGGGTACTTCTCGGCCCGAAGAAAGGTCATGTAACGCAGGGTTTCGGATTTTGGAGAAACGAAACCTTGATATTTGGAGAAGAAAGGCGATATACGTACAAGCCTCTTATATAGTAGACACGTAGCCCGAATATTGGCTAGATACCCTAGTAGACTACGAGAAGTATCTTGGTCTCGCATGTGGAAAAGCATAGCGCGGCCCAACTCGATATTTTCAGTCTGGTCAACTATGCCAGCCCACGAACATAGATGCCTGCGAGCAACCTTTTGTAGCGATACTTCATTGCCAGAAGTGGAAGCAAGAGTCGTTCTATGTCGAGCTATCTGATCCGATGAGATAGCATATCCCTTGCTTCATGAATACCAATGTCCCCATCAAGATCATGAGTAGGCATCTTTGCTATTTTCTTTTTCTCTCTTCTCTCATCGAATAGTTTGACATGTCATTTTGGTAATGTTGTTTAGGAAGTTATTCCAGAGGAAGATATGTATAGTCGAATTGTAGGCATGATATCTAGATCATACAAAGAAACGATCCATAGTTCTGCAGTATCTTCGTTTTCATCGCTTGAAGCACTCCGGACTTTAGATGTCGAAGTCGAAAGGGAGAACCGTAGGTAGGTCCTTGATGCTTTTTACGTATCATCATGTGTTTCTACATAGCGTATTTTGATCTGAACAGCGCTCACTTAAAGCCTCGTACTCTGGGAAGTCTCTTATGATACAGGCTTTGAGTTGTTTTCGACGACGGCAAGATCGTGTGCCATCCAAGTACATCTTTCAAGCATTCTCGCCAAAATCCCAGGCGAGGGCCATGGCATTGTGTGCCTGTGGTTTAGACTTCTCTTTCCTGCTCATAAAATGGAGATCATTTGCTTTGGAAATCGGGAAGAGACCTTGTCGTTATCGTGGAGACGAGGGTACCGATGATGGAGACGACTTTATAGGCACCGAGAGCACGAGCCAGCCCATGACTGCATACCACTTATGAAAAAATCTCTTGGGTCTTAGACATACCGGGTAGGTGTCGAGTAGGTGTCGAAGTTGATTTCTTAGTCGGTATTCTCGTAAGTCCAGAAGAAAGGAGAAGCAGACTCCCACGACATGGGTGAGTACTCCTGTCGTTTCTAATACCAGCTTCTTGGCTGACCGGAGAGACAACGCATGACTTTTCTTTCATCAGCTTGAGTCCGGATCGCTTAAAGCGGGGAATGAACGTATTTTCGCGATATTTGAGTCCAGGCAACACCTCTCCATCACGACATTCATGTATTCTTTTGAGTTGAAAAAGAGAGGAGATATTTTTGGAACACCGTCAAGAAAAGAGGTGTATTTATATTGGTATCCGTTGCCGTCCGAGTGCTGGATGTGCCGCCAAAGTCTCGCATCTTGACCAGTAACACAGTTGCCAACGTCCCGCCGACATGACCGCTGTGTCCAATCCTTTTGGTAGGTTTTGTGACTTAGTGTTGGATTTAGGTAGATATGTCGCTCGCGCTGGAGAAGGCAAGGCCAACCACATAGGTCGCCAAATGTAGAATTTTGGATAATAGTATCTCTGAACAGAGACAGAGGACCAGAGAACATTCCGATCTGCAATCCAAATTTTCGAGTGTAAAAAGTGCTTCGAAGGTTTTGCAGGAAAAGACATAAATCTCGTTGCAGTCATTTTTGGAATAAGGAACCAGCGGCGGCCGCGAAGTCCACATGGATCGCTCATAGCGATTTTTTGGTAATAAAAGATGGAAGCTTTTAGAGTGTATGAGGACAAGAGAGCATGGCCAGAAAGGTGGTTTATATACACCGGTAGCGCGGAGTTTGAACCGTGGAACCGCCTGTACTGCTGACGATCATCACCACCAACGCAGCATTCACATGCCCAATCGCGCTCATCGACTTGGACCATCGGACTCATTTATCCAACTTCGCATTCCAACGAAACCGTCCCAACAACTAGGATTCTATCAACAGAGTGCTCAAACACACTTATCAAAGCCAGACAATCCCTTTTCCGTATCCTACGCTATCCAGCATCTACCCAAAAGAGCCAACCAGTCACAACGACACTCACTCAAATATCATCGAGGTCCTCCTCCTCGGCTCTGCTCTTCTTGCCATCGCCATTTAGCCTGTCCATCCTGACATCCTCGTGCCTCCTAGTCTCATTCATACCGCCGCTCATGGCCATGGCTTGGCGGCCAGTATCCGAGCTCTCGAGGAAAGCGCGAAGACGCTCCTTGCCGACTTCAAGACCTTGTGTGGAGGCGGCGTTGGCCATGCGTGCCATGGGGCCCCATAGGTTGAGGGTGTAGGTTACGTAGGCGCCGACGGCGAGGAGGATGAGGAAGATGAAGTATACTGGGTTGCGGAGGACTGGTAGTTGTTAGCAAGGGGGTTGCATCGCATGGAGGATAGAGACTTACCAGCTACGATTTCGTTCCAACCCAGCGCGAGGAGGAGACCGTAGAAGTACAACGGAACTTGTGTGATACCGCCAATCGCGCTACGCTTAGCTTCTACGTACACACCATCTGCGGTCTTCTTGAAGCGGATCAGGAGATCGGCTTGCTTGGCGTCAGAGAGGATGGTCATCTCCTCTTCCAGGGTTTTGCCCTCTTCGTCGTCTAAGCCACCGATGGGCGTCAGATCGTCTTCATCCGCAGCGGTTGCTGACGCGGGAGCTTCGCCGATCCATGCATCGAGCGGTGGAGGGCTTGATGTCTTCGCCAGCTTGAAACGGGCAAGGAGTGGGATAACGGTGATCGTCGACTCGCGGGCCTTGGTGTAGACGCCCTCGATGTCATCGGTGGGTCGCCATATTCTTGGGACGCCATGCTCGTCGTAGCGGAACTTGTCTTCGAAGTTTTCTCTCAGCTTCAAGAGAATGTTGCCCTCCATGACTTCTTCGTCAATCTTCGCGCGGAGGACAGCCCACGACTTCCGCCGTAACCTCCACAGACCGACCTCAACTTCTTCGGGGCTAGCATCGAAGCTGGATGCGCGGTCAGTGAATCGCTTCTCGGCGCTCGAAACAGTTTCGGTGAAGATAGTCCAGACACGGTCCCAGAGATCCTTCTCTGTTGGTGGTCGCTCGCCATGCTCGGGCGCGCCAGAACCGCCTCGACCGGATCCGAGCTTGTTGAATTCCAGACCGACAGACTCGTCTAGTCTTGATCGTACCCAGCGCTCGATTCGTGTGGCCAGACGCCTCATCTCATCCTTGCGCAGACGGCCAGAGACGTCATCAAGGTCCTTCTTGTAGATCTTCAACTCGTTCTCATGACTGCTCCAGGCCGCGCCCTCGATCGCCATGGCCTTCGCATCTTCTTCGAACTTGGCAAGTGCTTGCTTCTTCTCCGAATCGACAATCTGTGCGAAGTCGTATGTTCCCTTCTTCTGACCGCTCTTCACCGCCGCACTGACGGCTTCGCTGAAGGACTCCACCCCGGACTTGTGAGCAGCTGTGAGTTGCTTCTGGAACAGTGCCTTCAACCGTGTGTCCACCTTGCCCTCCAGTTCTGCCTGCTTCCGCTTGTAGACGCCCTTGTGGTATCGGCTCGCGTTCGTGTCGAAGTCTTTGAAGACCTTGGTTCGTGCGGCGCTCATCGCAGGGCCGAGGTCGGCAATGACAGAAAGTTGTCCTGTGCGAGCGTGCTCGGCTTGTTGGTCTTCCAGTGGTGTGATCTTTTCGTCGAAAGCAACGAGGACCTCCCGCGAGATCTCGTCACAGCGGAACTGAGCTAACAGCTCTTGTTGTGTAGGCAAATCCAAGTCCTTGTTGTTGACAATCTGATCCCACACACCCTCCGCATATGCCGAGAAACCATCTGCGGGAATCCGTCGGTGGTATTGGGGTAGGAAGATGGGTGCTGTCGCCTCGTCGATGAGTCCGCTCTTCCTCGGGTCATTGTACCCTTCCTTGAACCGCCTGCTAAGCTGTGTGACTGCCTCCTCAAACTTCTCTGGTTGTAGGATCTTGTGGGGGAGGGCGACGAAGGCGAAGTCGAAGTAGTCTTCTATCCGCGAGTTCTCCAGGCCGTTGGGTTTTGAGATGGTCGACCATAGTTTGGAGAGGTCTTGTATTAAGGTGTTTTGTAGGTTCTTGAGGGGTGTCGTGCCGAGGTGGTCGCGGATGACGAAGAATAAGAGGGATCTGGGGGTGGATCTAGTAATCGTCAGCACGTGAGGGCTAAGGATAGTCGTAACACTTACTGGCTGTCCTTGACGAAGAGCTGTAGGTTGACTTCGAACACAGTCTTGAGCAGGCCCATGTTGGCACCCTGGTACAGTCCGACTTGGTGTTCCCAGATGTTGACGATGAGGACCTCGCTCGTGGCAAGCGCGAACAGGGCGCTCTTGCGCTCAAAGTCCTGGTCCTCGCCTCGCTCTCTGCCATCTGTACCCTCGACGTCCATGACGAGGATGTTCTCAGCCATATTGGAGCCGCCCTCCTCCCGCTTGTTCTTGCTCATCCAGATTCCCTTTGTTGTCTGGCGGCGCTCCTGCTCGGACATGACGCCGAACTGGGTGCCGAAGAGGTAGTTGAGCAGCGTCGACTTTCCGGTAGACTGCGAGCCAAAGACGGATATGAGGTGGTAGTTGAAGCCGGCGGGGATAACCTTCTCGATGTTGAGATATGTAGAGACGTTTGTGCTACATGGCGAGAACCCATTAGCCTACTGCCCCTCTGCCCAATTGCCTGCACGCGGAGAAGACATACTTGAACATCTTGTCCTCGTCGATGACCTGGATGCCATGTTCATAGGCACTTTTGTCGACGTTGTCGCCGACGCCGGCAAAGTGGGCGTTCATCATGAGCGAGGGGGACGTGTGGTGTTTGACGTTGCTGGGACGGCCCTGGCCATTCACTTTGAGGGAATCGTCGGCCATGATTGCTTGGTGTACAGTCCAGCCGAGAGCTGCACGTGGTGCGGGAAGAATAATGGCGTTGTTAGGGGTGAAAGCTGGCCGTTGATGTCACAGGCCGACCGCTTCTGGAGCGTCGACGCCCATTCGCCGCTGCACCCTGGCCCTGATCCTCGCTTAAGCCCAGGCGGTGGTTGCTGCCGTACAGATGACGGTCGCCTGCATCATGCCCTCTGTTTGTATACAGGCTTTGAGACATTCATTCCTGCTGCTTCTCTCACGTGCTGTTGCCCCGAGGACGTCGATCTGAACCACGGTTGAGCGCGGTAGTGGGGATGCACGTTGCGATCGTGGGCAGGAACAAATCATCACGTCTTGGCATCGCTTTCACGGTACTATCACTGGGTCGCTTGACAGGACGTTCCTGAAGGTAAACGTGTCCTTAGAACAGGTGCCGATAAGCTACCGAAATCTGGGAGATCGCCGTAAGGATCGCTCCAGATGTCTTCGCTCAACGGCGCGGGCGTTCTAGTAACAAGAATAATTCAACCCCCACTACGCGTGCTATGGCACCGCCCACACCATCTCTAGTCTCAGAATTCCCTATGTCCCTTACCACCACTAACCATATCCCCGCTGATCTTGCTGATTTCCTCGCTGTTCTTGACCCAGGCTTTCGTCGCATCTTCCCACACCCCGTCCCCAAACTTATTCTTGCACCACGCCAGCACCTTCTCCGCCTCGTCTCTTATCCTCTTTTCAATGCCCTCCTCGTCATCCGTTCTCTCGCTCTTCTTCTTGCCTCGAAACTCCTCAACAGCGTCGATCAGACTCTTGGGCTCCTCGTCACCATAGACGAATTCGATCAGGGAAGACGAGATGGAAGAGTTGCTGCCAACTTGCTTCGCGACTTCGGCATCCAATTTCTGACCATCTTCTTTGTGTTTGGGTTGATAGCCTTCACATGCATCTGCGACATCGCTTATCCAGGCTCTTGCGTTGTTGAAGTCGCCCTCCGCGCGGTGCAAGATACCGTGTAGCAGCATCCCCTCCACAGCTGGCGGAGCCTGCATGTGCCGCACTAGAAAATGTGCAGATTCCAAGTCATGGTTGAGGATGTGTAGTAGTGCTTCGATGGTAGGGTGGACATGTAGGTCTGCGATTGTCGCCGTGAGTTGTGCATCTTGGGCTTTCTTGGGTGGGTGGACGAGATTGGTCTTGGGTATGAGCTTCTGTAAAATCGTTTCCAGCGTCCGTGACACGTCTGATTGACTCATTTCTTCGTTTTGCTTAGTATAATCGAAGCTGCTGGTGTGAGTGGTACGCAAAGAGACGATTTCTCAATACTGGCCAAGACGCAATGGTGAAGAGAAAATTTTGTAACCTCAGTGATAGTCAAATCCAAAGATACGATCACAAAACAGAAAGTCTCACAACATGTATGCACCAGCTAGCTTCGTCGCGAAAGCATGTGACGTGCTTGATGCACCAACTTAGGAGCGCAGACGTCATGATGGACCCTGAGAATCATACAGCCCACACGTGCAAGGTCAGACAGTTTACAAAAAGGAATATGGTATAGCTCTGACATATAAACGCGTAATTAGACAGCATCGGCGCACAATCAAATGATGTAGTATAAGAATGTGGTTTTCGTAGGTGCGCTAAACCGCGCTCATATGTACATACAACGCATTATGATCCAACTGCCGGAACACAACCTAGTCGTACAGATATAACAGGTACAAGGTCAAGGTCGTAGAGTATTTTGCATCCAAACGCCGGGAAATGAGGACGAAGATGTTGAAAAGACAACGCGGAGGCCGTATCGGGCGCGAATCGGGTGGTTGGAGGTAGGGCGGGAGGCATTCGAGATCGTAGGAGGATAGTGTGGAACATTAACTCAGTCCACGCTTAAGCCTTGTTCTTGTTCTGCTCTTCCTCCTTCTCAGCCTTCTTCTCCTTCTTGTTAGCAGCATCAGCATGCTGCTTGGCCTTGTGCTCCTTGTCCGCAGCAGCAGCCTTGCGCTCCTTCTCGCGTTGCTCCTCAGCCTCTACCATTTCTGTATCATCAAGTCAGCTAGCTATTCCCACATTCAAATTCACGACTTTGACATACCTCTCCACTGGTCCTCTCCAGCATATCGCTCGTGGTGAATCTTCTTCTCGATAACATGCTTGTGCTCGGGATCGTTCGGGTCGATAACCCTGATTGTCTCCCATCTTCCCTGACCCTTGGCCGCGTCCGCACCTTCAATCGCAAAACTGCCTAGCAGCGCTGCCAGTGTGCCACCCTGTGCGTACATACGCGCCTGCACTAGCTTTTGTGATCCGCTCAGGTATGGGTTGCGGTTGACCATGTGCCATGATCCAGCCATGGAGACGACCCAGAAACCAAAGAGAAGCGGGTATCGGTTTTCGGTCGCCCAGGCTTTGGCGCGCTGGAGAGCGGTCTTGTTTTGTTCGTAGAGGGCTTCGCGCTCCTTCTCTCGCTCGACTTGACGCTTCTTCTCGGGTGTGTGTTCGATGTCGTATGCTGCGGAGGCTCGGTCGGCGGCGATGACGGCTGTGGGGTAGCATTGTTAGCAATCGAACTCCGGAATTTCGCGATAGAGAGATACGTACCGATGAATGTTCCTGTTGAGGCGACCAGGAAAGCCCGGAAAGGAACTGTGAGCGCTCGGAATGAGTGGTATCTTCTGCTCGCAGCCATGACACCTGCAGCACCTATCGCCGTACCAATGGCACCACCTATCGAGCCGCCCTTGATTGTGGCACTGGAAGCTGTCAGTACAAATCTCCCATCGCCGTTAGAGTGTATTACTCACTTGTAATGCGCCGCCTCTTCTTCCTTAGTAAGAACCTTCATCTTGTCTTAGGTAGAAACTGCTCCGATTCGGAATTTGGGTATATGGTGAATAGTTGTGAGAATGTGGCGGCTGTTGAGAATCGTGCGCCAGGTATACGCTTAGTGTTGGGGGTTTGGACGAGTATGTGTATGGAGTCGAATGGGTATATAAAATATGACGGCGCACGCGGCGACTTATTAAAAGATAACGCAATGCTCAAAACTCATGGTGACGTCGCCGAATTTCCGGCGCCGCTAGACCCACGTTGACATGTGCGGGCAGTGATGAGGTAAGGCCCTTTCGGCAGGCCCTGCCTAGCCCTACGTCCCTCGAGGGCTGGGCCGATTATCGTGCGCTGAGAGATCAGGTCACCGATGCATGATCAAGTGAGTATACCTCGAGAGGACTTCTTTTGCTGTTCGTTTCTTGCAACTCTACGTTGGATGTAGGAACGTTTAACTCGTTTCGGGATGCACTCCCAGCGAACCATGACTCCCTCCTCAAGATGCTCTGCCTCGCAACAGTTCCATCAGAAATGCATCACCCATGCGCATTCACTACCCTGACACCTACATGCAGGCAGCCGCTAAGTAAGGCTCTGTAAGCTTGTGAGCAATGCATCCCCGGTTTGTTCCTGCTCGGCAAGTTCTCGCGTGTCGCATGCTCTTCGGATTCTGTGCCGAAGCGGCATCTCTTAGTTGCCGCTCGCCGCTCGCACTGTTCAGACTCAGCAGATATGCGGCCAACCTTCCCTCTCCTCTACATGAGGCTATGCGAGTCCCTTAGAACGTGATTCTCGATGAAACAGCTCGAAGTTTTCACCAACCCTGATTATCGTCTTCCCGGCATGTGCAAGCTCTTTTCCGGCTATGCCCGAGTTGCCACCGAAGCCCGTACAAACTCCAGGATTCACCGAGCGGCTCCGCACGTTGACATCCACGACAAGACGGGTAGCAACGTCTGTCTCTTATGTTCACTCATCAGTTCCCATCACTGCGGTAAAGCCACGAACTCTTCCCAACACATCAAAAACAGTGATACATGCAATAGGTCATCATGTTTCTTATTTCCATCGAAGAATACATACATCCGATGACAGCATTATCGTAACCGTATTACCTCGTGATTAGTCTGCTTCCGAAAGAAGGATAAGTATGTAGGTACAATCCAGTTCATTGTTCACCATATCGTCTTCTCCAGCTTTTGCCTCCATAATCCTACTAAGTATCTCAGGGCCGATGAAAGTGTTGGGATAAACAAGAAAGAACATGTCCGTGATAAGGCGTGTCCAGGAATCGATGCTTTTCCAACTGACTGTAGGAAATGCGTACTTTCGTTTTAAGCCAATGGTCTTCGACAATTTGTTCGACATTGATCTTAGCTTTTGGGCATATCCACGATACCTTCTTCGAGATCGAGCGAGCGGTGCACTGGCTGATAATACCCAACGATACGTATGTGGACAAAGACATGTACACGCGCAAATACGTCTTTAACGGAATGCGCCAAAACTGGGGCGCGGTGCGGGGTTGCCATAGCGGGGAAGCATGCCTGCCGGAGGTCCTGGGCGTGTCGCAAGGGCAGGGTTGCAGCAGAGCATGGCGACGCGAGAGCCGTACTTGGAACCGCGGAGAGAGACCATGTGCTTACGGATGTGGCCGCCAACGAGCTCGCGATGCTGGGTACCACTGTTGGTTAAGACATACTGGATAAGGTAGTTGCCGAACTGATCACCAGCAACTTTGACAAGGTTAGCTATCGTCCACGGATCAAGGGTGCTCCAGACTTACTATCAATAAGAGGCATGCGTGGACGGTCGGGGCGAGCTTCGCATACGCGGTCCAGGTACCGGTCTAGGAACTCGTTGCCACCAATCTTCAGGCACTTCTCGATGACCTTGGAAGCATACTGGTCCATGCTGTACTCAGTACTGAAGCGAAGGATGTGATCGATAGCTCGGCTACGATCAGCGGGCGCACCATGCTCGCAAATATGCTGGATGCACCAGTTGCCGAATTGACCGTGGGCGATGACATCGATACTGGCGAGCACCTCGTTGATGCAGGGACGCTAATGCCAGTTAGTAGAAGCCGAAAGGATTGATAGCGCCTTCACGTACCTTGTCTTCCTCAAGGCAGTTCTCGAAGATGTTCTGTACGACCAGGCTGCCCGTCT